GGATCTCTAACAAGGTCATGTCTTTCCAATAGGTTATGATTATTCTAAGTAGTGTGAATGCCAATTCATCTCCAAAAGGGAGCCCCGGTGGCACAGTAGGTTAAACCCCTGTGCCGGCAGGACTGAAGACCGACAGGTCGCAGGTTCGAATCCGAGGAGAGGCGGATGAACTCCCTCTATCAACTCCAGCTCCTCATGTGGGGACATGAGAGAAGCCTCCCACAAGGATGATAAAAACATCAAATCATCCAGGCGTCCCCTGGGCAACGTCCTTGCAGACGGCCAATTCTCTCACACCAGAAGCGACTTGCAATTTCTCAAGTTACTCCTGACACGACAAAAAAAAATCTCCAAAAGGATCACGCTTCCAAAAGCCTGTGGATATTCCTGGTTTTCCCAAAAGGTTTTGAATATCTATTTTCCAAAATAAATAAAGTTAATATAATAATAATTACTACAAACAACAGAAAGAGATATGTGGGATTTTTCAGCCTCATTTGCCAAGATAAACCTGTGTTTTTCTTCTATGCAGCCTGACCTGGGCGAGTAGGAGGCATTTTTTGCTCTGCTTCGGATATCAACATATCATGGGTCAGTCCTTCTTGTTGCACCTACTCAAAGTATCCTAATTTCTGTAAATTAAGAAACAGATGCATTTACATTTGTGGGTAGGTGGGAAATGCCTCTCCCCCCACAGGCACCCACCTTCCCAGTAGAAACCCACTGTCAAAATTACGATCTCCCTACACACCGGAACTTCACTGTGAACATGGGAAAAACAGACAGGCTCACACATGCACGGCAACTTCAGCCTGGGGCCATGTCTTGGATTTGTGAATTATGCCCATGTTCACCTGACTTCACCTTGCCACATATTTACATATTCAGCAGTAAATAATCAAGAGATTAAAATCAAGGGATCCACTTCAAATAAGAACTGATTGCCAGGAGGAAAGATTATGAAGGAAATGTGGCCTTTCTGGATTCAAAGTGGGCTGAATTCGACTGAGTTCAAGGTGAAAAAGAATCTTTTCTTCCTTGAGGACATTTCTTATTTTGTGGAAAGGTGTGTCAATGAGGCAAAGGGTCCTTTCTCTACAGTAGGAATATTTGAGTTTGGAAAAGTTGCTTTTTCAGCAGGATGCACCTACATTGCAGAAACAATGCAGTTTGACACTACTTTAACCATCCTGGTTCAATGTTATGATGTGTAATCCTGGGTTTGGAGTTTGAAGAGGCAGAGGAGGTTAGTGACCCCATAAAACTACAAAACCCATCATTCCATACCATTGAGCCAAGGCAGTTTAAAATGGTGTCAAGCTGCATCCACTCTACAGTGTAGATGCACCTTCAGACAGCCAAAGCTAAAAGGCCAATACTTCCCAACGAGTTTTGTATTAAGAGAAAGGATGGGAGTTATAAAGCTTAACTGGGATGCACAAAACTATGAATTGCTATTTAACTGTCCTTTTTCTGTGGCACCTGAACTTTTGGTGGAAGCCTTTTGAGCCTTCAAACTTGTTTCTTTTTCTCTCTATTTCTCTGTCAATCACACCAACACACACACACAGAGCCCAGTTTGAAAGGGCTAGTAAAGACATATCTGTATCCCAAGAAAGGGCTGTTTGTGTAGCCATCAGCCCCCAAGGAGAGAAACAAGGCAGGATATCACTGCTGGCTAAGCCCTTGATATCTCAATCTCCAAGGCTGCAGCTTTCCCCTTTCGAAGGACAAGGAGAAAAGGGGAGGGAGGGGAACGGCTTTGAGGTGGTGGGTGGTCTGGTTGGCCAAATGTCCCTTGCCCACCTTCTAAGAGAGCTGTTCCCCCCTCCTGTTCAACTACTAAGGGTTGTGTTGTCGAAGGCTCTCTTCCTCCTCCTCTTCCTCTCATTCTCCTTTTCTTCTTCTTTTTCTCCTTTACCACTTCTCCTTTTCTTCCCTTTCTCTTCCTCCCCCTCCTCTTCTCCTTTTCCTCCTCTTCTCCTTTCATGTCTCTTCTTCTCCTCCTCTTCCTTCTCTTTTTCTTCCCTTCCCTCCCTCCTCCACCTTTTCCTTGTCTTTCTCCTCTTTTCATTTCCCTCCTCCTTCTCCTTTCCTCTTCCTTCTTCTCTTCCTCCTTCTTTTCCTTTTCTTCTTCTCCCTTTCCTCTTCCCCCTTCTCTTCTCCTCCTCCTCCTCTTCTTTTCCTTTCTCTTCTTCTCCTCTTCCTCTTCTTTCTCCTCCTCCACTTTTCCTTTTCTCCTCCCCCTTCCTCCTTCTCTTCCTCCTTCTTCTTTTCCTTCTCTTCCTCCTCTTTTCCTTTCTCTTCTTTTTTTCTCCCTTTCCTCTTCCTCCTTCTCCTCCCCTCTTTTCTTTTTCCTCTCCTCCTTTTCCTCTTCCTCCTCCTCTTTTCCTTTCCTTTCCCTTGGCCTCCGCTTCTTCTTCTTCTCCTCCTCCTCTTCTTTTCCTTTCTCTTCTACTCTCCACCTTCTCCCCCTTTCCTCTTCCTCTTTATCTTTTCCTCTTTTCCTTCTCCTTCTCCATTTCCCCTTCCTCCTTCTCTTCTCCTTCTCCTCTTCTTTTGCTTTCTCTCCTCAACCTCGTTTTCCTCTTCTTTCCCCTCTTTTCCTTTCTTTTGTCCTCCTCTTCGCCTTTTCCTTCTCTTCCTCTCCTTTTCCTTTCCCTTTTCCTCTTCTTCTTCCTTTTCTCCTCCTCTCTTCTCTTTCGACTCCTCTTTTCATTTCGTTTCTCCTCTTCTTCTCCTTTTCCACCTCTTCTACTTCTCCTTTTCCCGCCCTTTCTCCTCCATCCCACTCATTTGACTTTGTTTCGTTTCTCCATTACTTCACTTTTGTTTAATCCCAGAATTTTGGCGAGTCTCTTTTCAAATTAGGGACCCCATCTTTTTACAAAAACCACACTTTTGGGACTGCAACTTCCAGACTCTCGGCGTTGTAGTTCACACACATCGGGGCTGTCTTTCGTTTGGCATGGGGGCGACAAACGTCAGAAGAGCAGCCCCCCTGAGTGAACTCGACTTCTGAGCAAACGGGCGCTGGGCAGGATTGGCCAGCCTAGCAACCGCTTCGCCCAATCGCCTGGCTTTCCGGGGGACAGGGAGCCAATCCAAACAAAGCCCCTTCTCTCAAGGCTTTTGTGTGTGTGTGTTGTTGTTGGCAACATCAAATTCAACATCACGGGGTCTTCTCCTCGCCATGAGAATTATCTGGATGATGGAGCTTGGGAGCGATAATAGGAGAATCCAGAGTACAAGGCCGAGCTCTGGCGCCCCCCCCCCGCCCCCACTTCGGATCAAGCAATCCTGATGCCTGACAGCAAACATCATCCAAAATCAGGGCAGACCCAGGTGTATTTAGTATACTGCAGAAACAATGCAGCACCGCATCACTTTCACTGGCATGTCCCAATACTATGGAATAGTGGAAGTTGTAGTTTGGTAAGGCACCAGCACTCTTTGGCACAGAAGACTAAAGACCACGTAAACTGCAACTACAGAATTGATATAGGTTAAACTCTAGAGGGGAGACCAGGCATTGACAAACTTTGGCCCTCCCGGTGTTTCGGACTTCAAATCCCACAATTGCTGAGAGCTGAAGTCCAAAACACCTGGAGGGCCGGAGCTTAAGCGGTTGAGGAGATAAGAGAAAGGGCCTGAAGCCAGGAATTATGGGAGCTGAAGTCCAAAACAGTCAAGGCTCCGGGAGCTGTAGTTTGATGAGGCACCCGCACTCTTTGGCAGGAAAGGCGAAAGGTCGGGCAAAACTCCCGGAATTTCGTCGCCTTGAGCCAAGGCAGTGGAAGCGGGTTCATGAATCCTACAGTGTAGTAGAAGAAGAGGAGGAGGAGTGGGGAGAAAGACGAGGGAGAAAGAGGGAAGAAGGAGAAAGAAGAAGAGTAGGAGAGGAGAAGGAAGAAGGTGGCGGAAAGAGGGAGGGAGGAAGAGGAGGAAGAAGAAGGAGAGGAATGGGGAGGAAGAGGAGGGAGAAGGAGGAGAAAGAAGCAGTGGAGGGAGAAGAAGGAGGAGGGGAAGGAAGAAGAAGGCGAGGACGAGGAGGAAGAGGGAGGGGGAAAAGGAGAGGAGGAGAGAGAAGAAGGAGAAGAGGAGGAGGAGAAGGAAGAATAAGAGAGGAGAAGGAATGTGAGGGGAGAAGAGGGAGGAAAAAGGAAGAGAAGGAGGAGAAGGAGAAAGAGGGAGGAGGAAAAGGAGGAAGAAGAAGGGAAGGAGAGGAGTGAGGGGAAGAAGGAGGAGAAAAGGAGGAGAAAGGGGAGGAAGAAAGAAGGAGGAGGGGGGGAGAAGAGGAGGGCGAAGAAGGAGAAGGAAGAAGAATGGAGGGAAGAAAGGAGGAGAGGAAGGAAAGAAGAAGACGGGAGGAAGAGGGAGGGGAGGAAAAGGAGGGAGGAGGAGGAGGGAGAAGAGGAGAAGGAGAAGAGGAGAAGGAATGGAGGAGAAGAGGAGGGAAAAGGAGAGAAAGGAGGAGAGGAGGAAGAGGGAGGGGAGGAAAGAAGGAAGGAAAGGAGAGGAGGAAGGGAGAAGGAGAAGAGGAGGAGGAGAAGAGAGGAGAGGAGGAAGGAGGAGGAAGAGAGGGGAAAGAAGGGAAGGAGAGGAAGGGGGAGGAAGAGGGAGGGGAGGAAAGGAGGGAGGAAAAGAGAGGAGGAGAAGGGAGAAGAAGGAGAAGAGGGAAGAGGAGGAGGAGAAAGAGGAGGAGGAAGAAGAGGAGAGAGAGGGGAAGGAGAAGGGAAAGGAGAGAAGGAGAAGAAGAAGGAGGAGGAAGAGGGGAGGAGGAGAAAAGGAGGAAGGGAAAAAGGAGGAGGAGAAGGGAGAAGAAGAAGAAGAGGAGGAAGAAGAATGTGAAGGGACGAAAAGCAAGGAAAAAAGGAGACGGTCGAGAAGGAAGAAGGAAGAAAAGGAGAGGAGGAGGAGGGAGGAGGTGGGGCCTTGGCTGCCCTCCCCTCCCTGCCTCCTTCTCTTCCTCCTCCCCCTCCTCCTGGTCCGGAGTCAGGGGGCGGCGCCCCCGCGAGGAGTCCAGCCCCCGTCCCCGCCCCTCCTTCTCCAGAACCGAAGAGAGAGAGAGACAGAGAAGGAGAGACCCACCGAGCGGGGATCGCTTGCGGAGAGTTTCCGTGGGGGGAGGAGGAGGAGGAGGAAGAGGAGGAAGGCGGGACGGCGCCCCCCGGAGAGACGTGGCTCTGGATCGCCTCCTCCTTCGTCGGTAAGAAACCGCGAGGCCGGGGGGGGGGGGGGCAGAGGAGAGGGCAGGGAACCGCGGGTGGCCCCTGGGGAGACGGGGAAGGGTGGCCCCTGGCTTGGGCTCCGTCTCCAGGAGGAGGAGGCTTGGCTTTGAGGCTCCGTCTCCCCGAGAGAGAGGCTGAGGAAGAGGGGAGAGGGGAGCTCCTTGGCCCTTGGCTGCGCTTAGCCTTGGCGCCCCCCCCCCCCCATTCCTTCCGCCGACGCAGGCGGGTGTCAGGTTCACTTCGCGAGCTGGAAGCCTGGCTGCTGCTGCTGCTGCTCCTGCTGGGGGGGGCTCGGATCGGAGGAGGGGGCTGCAGACCCCCGGATCGTGGCAGCGGGAGGTGGAGGGGGGAAGGAAAGAAAAGCAGGGAGCGTTGAGTCGTTTTCTCCGTGCGTTGCGATAAAGTTTTCCGTGTTAGTGGAGGAGGAGAAGGAAGAGGGTGGGGGTCTCTTTCACTCGCGGGACCTGGGAGGGCTTCTGACAAGGACAGAGGCCCTGCTGATCAGTGTTTACGCCCCTTGGCCTGGATGGCTTTGGGCAGAACAAGGCAGAAAGGCAGCAGAGAGTGGCCCTGGGCTGGAGCAAGTTCGGAACTTGGCTGCGGGAAAGATCTCACTCAGAGAGAGTCGCCTTCTCTGGAGGCTTTTTTTTGTCGTGTCAGGGGCGATTTGAGAAACTGCAAGTCGCTTCTGGTGTGAGAGAATTGGCCGTCTGCAAGGACGTTGCCCAGAGGACGCCTGGATGATTTGATGTTTTGACCATCCTTTTGGGAGGCTTCCCTCATGTCCCCGCATGGGGAGCTGGAGCTGACAGAGGGAGCTCACCTGCGCTCTCCCCGATTCGAACCTGCGACCTGTCGGTCTTCAGTCCTGCCGGCACAGGGGTTTAACCCACTGCGCCACCGGGGGCTCCTTAGCAGAGGCTGAGTGGGCATCTGTCGGGGGTGCCTTGATTGTGTGCTCCTTCCTGAGGATTGGGTTGGGGGTCTCTTCCAATTCCATGATTCTCTGACACACACAGGCATGCATTCACATATATATACACAACACAATATAACACTCCAGGCATGGGCAAACTTGGGCCCTCCAGGTGTTTTGGACTTCAAGTCCCACCATTCCTAACAGCCTCAGGCCCCTTCCTTTTCCCCCTCAGCCACTTAAGCGGTTGTGGGAGTTGAGGTCCTGAGGCTGTTAGGAATGGGGGAGTTGAAGTCCAAAACACTGGCGGGCCCAAGTTCGCCCATGCCTGTATTAGGCAGTTGTTGGAAGTATACACTACATTTACCATGAGGAAAATATAGACGACCCTATTCAGCAAATGCAAAGAAGGGCTGAATAAGAGAAACACAGAACATAGAGATCAAGCTGAAGGCGGGCTAGAGCACCCTATCCTTCATCATCATCACCATCAAGTTAATAACTTGGCTTCCATCAAGACCAGAACCTCCCTCTATATATCTATATGTGTATATATAGATATATTTGTACACACGTAAGTTATACACATGATAGAGTCTGTAGGTTTGTTCTTAAGTTGAATTTGTATGTAAGTCAGAACAGGTACATTTTTAAGTGTAACTCCTGCCAAATATGTGTATGTGTGTGTGTTTGCTCTGGATCACGTGGGGAATGATTAACATCCCCGTAGTGTTTGTTTTGCTATCTGTGCGCTGGTTCAGAAGATTTCACCTCACTTTCTGTTCCTGTGAGAATTGGATTTTGGAAAATTTGGCTTGTTGTGGAAACAAGGATTAGTGAGAAAGCTTCTGTGGAGTCAGTTTTTCCCCATGATAACTCTTACAGGAGTGAATTTCCCTTTTGAGGGGTAGATTTCTCTCACTTCCTCTTGTCTCACAAGGTGTTCTTAACTAGGAGTCAGTTTTAAGTAGAATGTTTGTAACTCAGAGTCTGCCCCCCCTCCCTACACACACACTCAGGGGCGGCTCAACCCCATACGCAAAGTAAGCATTTACAGTATAGTTGATTTTGCCCAGGGGTGCTCTTGAGGCACTCTTGGGAGAAAATAGACCTTGACATATGCGAGTTGTAGTTACTGGGATGTATAGTTCACCTACAATCAAAGAGCATTCTGAACTCCACCAATGATGGAATTGAACCAAATATGGCACACAGAACTCCCACGACCAACAGAAAATATATGTCAATGATTGGTTGGGGGGTGGGGGGTGCCAAAATACTGCTTACCATTGAAAATGCTTACCATTGAAAATTACCTTAGGGTCGCCTCTGCACACACTCACACACATGCCCAGTTGGAGGCATACAATACAATAGAATTTCACTAATCCAACCTTTGCGCATCCAATGTTCTGCATTATCCAACGCATTCTGCCTCCTGCTCGGATCCACAGTTGTTTCAATATGTTGAGATGTTTTGGTGCTAAATTTGTAAATATAGTAATTACTACACAACATTATTGTCCAACGTTCTGCTGGCCCGTTTACGATGGATAAGTGAGGCTGTATTGTAATTCTATCATGGGGAAAATAAAGGATCCTCTATTCAGCAACTGCAAGGAGGGCTGCACACTGATGGGCTCAAGTCCACAGAAGACTTTGGTGCCCAGCCATTGCCACTTCATCACACTTGAGAACAAATCCACTTAAAATCTAGTTTCTGCCTCCTGCAGCATTCTTGGGTTTGTAGCTTAATGAGGCTGTTAAAGGCTCCTCCCTAAACTACAAACCTCAGAATTCTGCAGGAGGCAGAAGCCGGATTTTAAATGGATTTTTTCTCTAATGTGATGAGTTTCAGCACATAAGTCTCCTCCATCCCTAATCATGGAAATATACACAAAGATGTGAAAACTCCATCTCCCACCTTCTTTAATACTGAAATAATAATAATAAAAGTTCATTTCTAGACTGCCCTCTCTCCCCCCAAGGGGACTCAGGCTTGTTTACACACACAAAAGGCAAAAATTCAATGCCACAACCCAATTCAAACACAACTGAAAACACCCTCCACATTTTCTGGGGTTAGGATCACAGGACTCCCATGAGTGAAGAGATGGGTATTTTTTCCCCTGAGACAATATCTCTTTAGGAATGTCCAGGTCTACCAGTATCTCGCTATGGTTGTCTTCCACTGGAAGCCGACCAAAGAATTGTACTTGAGGACCTAGAGATTCCTGGAGACGTGTTCTCTATAGAAAGCCTCAGGTCCTCCAGCATGACCAGAGGACATTGACCACGTCGGAGGAATAATCAAATTCTCCAAATGTGGAGGGACAACTGCATTTTTTTCTCCATAGAGGGCCAGCTCTTCACTATAACAGTAAACACATTGTGTTGCTTTCCCCCGGAAGTGTGGTTTGTATGCCACAAACTCTGGGAAAAGGGTATGTTTGTTGTAGCAAACAAACCCAGAATTGTGCTTGATCGGATGTAATGGTGGAGGTGATTTTGTGTTTGCGAATGTTGAGGAATTGCTCCTGAAAATTTCTAAAATACAGCTGGCTCTCCATATTCACGGACTGTGCGTGTACATATTCTCTGCCACTATATATATCTTGGGAAGTGAGACCTGGCCACTGTAGTCCACACTCTGGTTACATAATGAATAGACTACTACAATGCAATCTATGTGGGGTGGCCTTTGAAGACTATTCGGAAGCTCCAAATGATTCAACAGACAGCAGCTAGATTGCTCACTAGAGCAGCGTACAGGGAGTTTACAATCCCCTTGTTACATCTTGTTGGTGGGAGCAAGAGACACGGCCTTCTCAGTGGTGGCTCCTTGGTTTTGGAACTCCCTCCCCAGTGATATTAGATCAGCCCCTTCCCTCCTGACCTTCAGCAAGAGATCAAGCCTTTGGAGAATAATATAGTGCAATAGATGGATTTGGCCTGGATTATGATTGCGGAAGTGGCCCATATTTACTGCCCAATTCTTCATTAATCATACCCGACAAAAACATTTCTGGTAATATTACAAAATCTATGTTTGTTTTAATTAACATGCAAAATCTTAGACTACTAACTTTCCACCTTCTTACAAATCCATCCTTATTTTGATAAACGCAGCATTCTATGATATTGACATTTTGATTGGGTTTAAATACCATTTTCTACATGAGCTCCCACTGTTAGCCCCAGCTTCTGTCAACTGAACAGTTCGAAAACATGCAAATGTGAGTAGATCAATAGGTACCACTCCTGCGGAAAGGTAACAGTGCTCCATGCAGTCATGCTGGCCACATGACCTTGGAGGTGTCTACGGACAACGCCGGCTCTTTGGCTTAGAAATGGAGATGAGCACCAACTCCCAGAGTCGGACATGACTGGACTTAATGTCAGGGGAAAACATTTACCTTTACCTATTATATATACTTGTACAGGTTTATCTTTTGTTTCTAGTTTCAAAACTATTTATATACTTAATCTTTAAAAATTGAATTATTCACGCTTACTTCTAAATAGAGTTCTATTCAGTTCAGTAGTATTTGCAGAAAAAATGGTTTTGAGTTCTTCTAGAGACCTGGTTCTTATACTGATTCTTAGTGCATTCTTTAAATTAACATTTCCAGATGCAGGAAAAAGAAAAAGAGATTTAATGTAGCCATCTCAACCAGTACATTGGAACATGCCAGTCATTGGAACACTCCAGCCATTTTTAAAGTAACTGTATTTTAAATTGCTTTTAGAGTGTTGTAATGTTTACTTATGTTTTAGTTAACCATGTCTTATTGGATTGTTTTGTTTTATTTTTCATCAGAATGCTTAATTCTTTGTCGCGAGCTCACTGTTATTACTGTTGCTTTATTGTATATTATTTTGATATGTTTGTACTCACCTGAGGCATTGAATGCTTGCCTTTTTTGAATTAGTAAACAGCCCTGAATATCTTGGGGGAGAGAAATAAATAATAATAATAATAATAATAATAATAATAATTATTATTATTTGAAACACAAAAAGATGAGCCCACAGCAGATACACTGCTGGCTGTTGTATTGG